TATCTTTTCTGATTTATATTTCCTGTATTTGTTGGTTGTATAAATTTAGTTTTGTTAACCACTTTTAATCCAGCCACTGTCTTAGTTCAGGCTGCTGTAACAAAATACCATAGGCTGGGTGCCTTAAAAATAACAGATATCTGTTTCCCACTATTGTGGAGGTTGGAAGTCCTAGATCAAGGAGCCAGCAGATTGAGTGTCTGGTGAGAGCCCACTTCCAGGTCCATGGATGGCCCTGTTTTCACTATGTCCTCCGGTGGTGGACGGGGTGAGGGAGCTCTGCGAGGGCACTGACCCCATCATGAGCCCTAAGCACCTCCCAAAGGCCCCACCTCCTGATACCACCACACTGGGGGTTAGGATATCAATAGATGAATTTGGGGGGGACACAAATATTCAGTCTACAGCAAGCCACCTTGTTAAACTCTGACTGACAAGCTTTCTACAGAGCCCTTTGGATTTTCTAAGCATATCATCTGTTGAGCAGTTTTGTTCCTCCCTTTGCAATCCTCATGCTTGTTCTTCCTGTTAGTTCCATGCCCCAGGACCTACAGTGCAAGGTTGAAGAGAGTGGTCACAACAGACATACTTACCTTTTTTCCTGTTTTAAAGGGCATACTCATGGATTTTAACTAATAAGAATGATGTCTGGTATGGAGTTCTAGTAAATATTCTTTATGAGGTTAAGGAACTTCCCTTCTATTCCTGGTTTGCTGAGATTATTTATCATGAATGGGTGTTGAGTTTTAGTGATGCAGTTTTTTCTTATCTGTTGTTTGTATGTTTTTTACCCTTTAAGCTGTTAAACTACCCTTGCATTCCTGAGATACATCCAAATCATCATGACATATTAAATACTGTTGTTTTGTTTTCTCTTGATTATTAGTCACTTTTTGCTGCCTCTTTGCATGTCTACTACTTTTTGTTGCATGTCTATTATTTTTTGTTGCATGCTGGACATTGCATAAGTGACATGTAAATGCTCTAGATAATATTTTTTACCACAGAGGGTTCCCTTTGTCCTCTGTTAGGCAGTTAGGGGGAGGGATTATTGCTTAATCCAATCAGGGATTGAGTTTAGGCTGAGTCTGGCTACAGCTGTGACCAGAAGCCTGCACCAGCTTGGATTAGTTATGCGTATGTGGATGGCAGCTACAGGAAGAGAGGAGACAATGGGAGGTTGGTTATGTGAGGACAATATTGGTCTCAGCTCTTACACCGAAAAAGTCAAGAAAGCTGCTGATGGGCATTGGGTGGTACTCAGACACATGGCAACAGAGAGTCAGGAAGAGCAACACTTCAGAATTACTGTCCTAAATTCTAAGAGCAGCATGAAGTCTTGGATGTGTCTGCGTGAATTAGGGAGAGGACTTCTGTCTGAAGGAAAGAGTTGCTAAAATAACTGGACTTTTGTCGTGCCCTTTAACCATGGTAACCTAAGGCAAAGATTACATTTAGATGACATAGAAAGTATTTCTAAAGGTTGCTTAAAATTGCTTCCTTAAACAATTTCCACTCAATGCTCAAAAGAATATTCTAACATGGAATTAAAAATTTAAATAAAAACCACCCAGAATCCTGCTGCTCTTAACAATTAAACTGTTTTGATTTTCTTTGTTGCTTTCCATTCTTTTTTTGCAAACACTAATAGGCAGAAACACCCACACAAACACACACAAATATAGTTTTTACCTAATGTAACCATGGTATACCTGGGATTTTCCTTCTACCGCCTTTAAAGGTGAAGTTCAGTTTATGACTCACTTTCATCGGGAAGTCTGCACAGGGATCAAATTCCACACTTCATGCCCGCATTTTAATGCCTGCTGCATTCCATCCTCTGTAGTTCCCCAAGTTGAGCTATGTTCGGAGTGTGGTAGAGCACGGACAGCACTATTCAAATGCACTTACTACTTCTCAGGGAGCACACTAGGTCTAGTGATGGCAAGGAAAACAGTTATAATTCCAACTTTTCCATCAGTAATGAACATTTTGGAATAGTTTGCATCTTTTCTTTATTCAGAATTTTATTGAGTGCTGCTAAGCGTGAGTTTCTTGGTAAACTGCTGTTTCCCCAACTGGCACCACTCTTCCACAGCCCTCCCCACTGCTGCCGGTTCACCTGTAGGGCTCAGCATGAAGCACCTTCTCGCTTACGTCTTCTCTGGAACCATCACCCTGGATTCCCACTGAGTGCACCTTGTTGATTTCCTTCAAGGCCCTTAACCCATTTGCAGCTGCACATTCGTTTGTTGCTTAAGGAATGCTTTCTGAGCTCTCCTAGGGAGGGACTGACTCTATTTTATTTAAAGGTACGGTCAGATGATATAAGCACAGCTTGTGGGGATGGGAGCAAAGATGGAGGGAGGGTGCTGCTTGGGGACACCCGCTGAATTCCTCTGTGTGTTAATGCTGTATTAGCACCTGGCACAGTGTGTGCACACACTATATATTTGTTGAATAAATAAGTATTAACATGAAATGACTTTTCATTTCCTGCAAATCTTAAAACCACCCAAGGGGAGAGAGTTTTATTGTATTACCTACTTTCAGTCTAACTTTAAAGCCAAATATAATGGATTTTCAATTACTTTTTATGTTTTTCTCCCTTCTTTGCAGCTATACAAGAACATCCATGCAATACTGAGAACAAATCTCTTATTTAGGCCAATGACATAGGAAAAATACCAAATTTCTGATTATTTAGGTATGTCATTTAATGGCCACATTGTCTACCATCGAGTTCTGTATTTTTCCTTGTATGTGAAAAGTATAATCACAATTATAATCAGTATTTATTATACTAGAGTCTGCAAAACACTTACTTGTAGCTTTTCATCTGAGATAGCAGAGGTGATTTTTTGCAGACTCCAGCTTGAAATGGGTTATTAACTCCCAGTGCTCACAGTAATAAGTAGGTGTCATTTAAGGAAAGGAATCATTACTGCCTAGCACCCTTGACCTCTTTTTCCTCCATGAGTGATGCGTTACATGTTTACAGAATATAAAGATGAAAATCCTAATTAGATGAAGGGAGTGGAACTAGGTCAGTTCTTAAATGTTTTTTGCCTGTAAACAAGCGCATGGAGCAACAGAGATAAAGACCATCTATCTGACTTGTGTTAGCTTGCCAACCACATACATCCACAACAAAGGTCCCCCAAACTTGCCCTTCAGGGAAAAATCTTCTGACCCACCTTACTCTTGCATTGTTAAATCAGTTAGGTAAACAAGTAAATGGTGGATAGTGTCGGTTGGTTAGTGTCCAAGTAAGACTTGTTTCAGAAAAAGTAACTTTCCTTATTCCTTCTTCAGGTGCTAACTATAAGCTACATTCAGGTATGTTTGTATGCCTCACTGCCATTTTGGAACAGACTAAGAATACAATAATTCAAAACACAATAGTTCTGTAAGAGCACTTGCTAATACCTGCTTGGCTTTAGCAGTGCAGAGGTAAGTGCCTATTCCATCACTCCTTGACCGTGTTATGAGATAGGATTTTCAGGTAGCATTTCCTTAGTGACCCTGTGGATTGATTGCTTGTTGCAATTTAGTTCAATGCACATGACACTGTGTATTTTTTTCTTTTATAAAATTAACACTAATATTCTAATATGTTTTACTGTATAGTTTTTTAAAGGTATTATTGATATACACTCTTATGAATGTTTCACATGAAAAACAATGTGGTTACTACATTCACCCATGTTATCAAATCCCCACCCACACCCCAATGCAGTCACTGTCCATCAGTGTAGTTAGATGACACAGATCCACTATGTGCCTTCTCTGTGCTACACTGTCCTCCCCGTGATCCCCCACACCGTGTGTACTAAACATAATACCCCTCAATCCCCTTCTCCCTCCCTTCCCACCCCTCCCCGTTGATAACCACTTAGTTCCTTCTTGGAGTCTCTGAGTCCGCTGCTATTTTGTTCCTTCAGTTTTGCTTCGTTGTTATACTCCACAAATGAGGGAAATCATTTGGCACTTGTCTTTCTCCACCTGGCTTATTTCTCTGAGCATAATATCCTCCAGCTCCATCCATGTTGTTGCAAATGGCAGGATTATTGTGTAGTTTTAAATGTTATGTGTTTTAATATGAGATAACATCTCTTCCCCTCCCTATTTGCAACAGATTTGTATTTTATAAACCCTTATTTATATTTCCTTGGGGGAATATCCTGCATGGGTAAAAAATAGATTTTTTTCCTATAAAAGAAAAATTCATTTAAGCTCAAACTAGAACTTAATCTTTATTACATGCCTCATCTTCAGAAGTATTCTAAAATTGTGAGAAACTGCACATTTGTTCGGTTGCTTATTTTCTGTCTCTTTTTAGCTCCCCTAGGAAAGGGACTGAATGTATTTTTCAGAAAATAAACAAACTAAATCTACCGCACAAAATCTATTTAGAGGTCACTAAAAGTCCCTCCGGGCTCCAGGAGCCTGTGTGGTAAGAACAATGAGCTAAACTTACATAGTAAGAAATTACGAGCTTCCCCAATAACTAGCCTTTTCCCACTACCACTTTATGTATAAAGACAACGGAGGCAGTATTATAACAAGATCAAGGAAAAAGTTTAAATATAATTTTTAAAAATGCCTGTTTTTCCACAATATCACAGCTGTTTTCATTTCTCATCTACTCGTTTTCTTTGCACTTTCTTTTCTCATCTTAATCACAACAGGCTGCGGTTGTGCTGATGCGATGTTTCTTTCCACTTTACGTAAACTTTTAAAGATAATTATTATTTCGTGTTCTCTCTCGCCGGAAAGCAACGGGAGCACAGGAGAACAGAGGACCTAAAGAAAACCCGAGTTTCAGCGAGGATACGCCGTCCGGGAGACGGTGAGGGCGGGGCGACCACGACCTCGAGGCCCCGCCTCCCCGCCCCGGGCCCCGCCTCCAAGGCCCCACAGCCCAGGCACCGCCTCCTAGAGCCCCGCCCCACCTTTCCCAGGCCCGCCCCGGCCCGTCGCCATGTTCTCTCGGTGCTGGACGCGAGCAGCCGGAGCCGGACACGGGCAGCGCCGCTCCCGCTACCACCTCTTGTTTTCGGGTCCTCGAAACTCTCGTCCTTGCACGCTGACGGGTCGGTCCGGAGCCTCCGGGCGCCCTCCGTGTGGCCGCGAGGTGAGTGGGTCGCCGACTCCTCGCGGGTCGGGTGTGCAGGTGTGCAGGGTCGGGGGGCGCGGGCCCGCCTGGGGCCTGGGCCGCCGGGGTCGGGGCGCTCGTTCGTCCGGAGCGGGACGACTTGTTGCCACCTGCCTCCTGACTGACGAACGCAGGAGGAAAGACGAGTTCCCACACCCACACAGCCGGGGAGAGGGACACACGCCCAAACATCCGGGAGTCACACGGGGACACGCACAGACACTGGGACACACAAACACCTGGGGAAAGAGATCCTTAAACACCCGCGGACACACACGTACCCAAACAACCTGGGAGACAGACAGACACACCACACCCAGCCGCCCGCGGGCAGAGAGGCACGCACACCCAGGGAGAAGTGCGGTCACGGGGACACACGCAGACACCAGCCTTCTCCCCAGCCTCTCGGGGCGCACACCAGCACACCCAAACCAACCCTCCCCTCGCGTGATTAATGTAGGGAAAGCAAAAGGCGCTCGTGCAGTTTCATTTTGGCGACTCCGACGTGCTACCTCGGGGAACACTTGCTCCTGGGTTAGACCGCTCAGGTGAGGAGTTGGGCACGTAGAGCCAGTCCCGGGGGCTGGAGGCGGGGCGCGGCCTTATCTCATTCACTCAGGCAAAGATTTCAGAACCGTGTTCATTTCCTTCTTCAACTGAGTATGTAATGAGGCAAGGTGAGACCTAGGTACCGACCGGGTAGTTGGGGACGTTTTGGTTGCTCTGTTGTTGTTTCTTTTTAAGTGATGACACAGCCCGTGACTACGGTTCTTTTGAGGAATTATTTTCTGCTAGTGTCCAAAGTGTCACGTGATCAAGCTCTATAGGATTTCAGCCTCTTGAGAAAATCAGTGAACAGAATTGGATTGCATTTTTCAAATGTGAAAAGGCGTTTTACCTGTTTGTCTTTCTGACGCTGGCACCACTGTAATGGAAAATCCCCAAGTTGCCTGTAATCTCAAAAACTGTTCAGTGGGGCAAAACTGAAGAGATGAAGGAAACCCGTAACTATTCAGTCAGGCTTTTAAGAACACTGTTTTTAGTTTCTCTTTTAGACGCTTGTGTGGAAGTTATCATCCCTACTTGTCTAGAGCTCTCAGAATCTGACTGAGATTCCCAAATCTAAGGCAATGGTGTGGCAGTCTGACACTTTCAGTATTTTTGTGTAGACGTTGTACTAAATTCCTCTTATACTAAAGTTTCTGGCATGGTGACACGTATTTTTTAGAGTTTTGTGATGTGGGGAAATGTTTGGTTTATTATTTGTGAGGTTACACCTGGCCCCCGTCTTAGGAGTGGCTGTGAAAGTGTTACTCATGGGGTCAGCATGGCACCTTATGTGGCATCTGTGCTCTCTGATTCATGCTGGACAGCGTGTTCTTTGCTAACAAATAGATCTCTCTGCCTCTTTTCAGGAGTTGTCTGCTACAGGGTATAGGAGATGCTGATTATATGCCTAAAATGATTGCTGTGGCATGGGATCCGACAAACGGCTGTGTGTCCTTTCCTTACTTGAGAGGTTTTATTCTGGGATGGATCAAGAGGAATTAGTCCAGGAAGAACATCCACGGACCTCGGAGGAGTCTTACTCGCTCTGTCGTTGGCTTGCTCATCTGGCCAAGTTAGGTCACCACATTTCTTTGTTAAATGATACACTTTATAATCTCTATGAGATTATATGACACCAAGTAGAGACATCAAATGATTGAATTCCAAGAAGTTCTGCCCCAGGCAATTTGCTGGTTAATGCTCTGGAGGAAATAAGCCAAGTGGAAGTGTGTGTGTGTTTGGGAAATGCCGTCTCAGCCTTAAAGCTCGCTAATAAATTTGTTAGTCAAAACCAAGGACAAGAAAATAGGCCTTGTGACTATGTAGGTCATCAACAAAGAATACTTAATAAGTTTTTTTTTTTGAGGGGGTGGTGAACTCACAACATGCCTTGGAGTTTGGAAGGCTGTGAAGCAAATGAAGGTTGGGATACCTGAGTAAGAAGACCTGGGGGGCCAGGTGTGCGGATGGAGGGCGGTCTGCACAGCTGGAGGCAGTCCCAGGCCTGTGTTGGCCTGGGAGCCTGGGGGGCCTGGGCTCATTAGATAACTTCAAAGGGAAATCTCTTTCCTAAAGTGAACCTTGATATTGTACATGCTGTGAAAGTTGAGCTCTGGGTATGTCAACATTCTGGAGTCTTCCATTATTTCTTGTTAGTTTTTGTCCCTGGTGGTAGGTACAGGGTTTAGAATGCTGTTGCTTATCATGAACATACAGAGGATGACTAGACGGAAATGAATGTAAGTTAGGTAACAGCTCAATCAGCGTGGGGTGGAGAGAGATGGGTGTGTATTTTAGGAGAAATATAGAAATGAAGGAGGCAGTTCAGGCTTCTCCACATTCTGTCTTCACCAAACCCAGCTTATTTCGTCTTGGGGAGTCTGGACACAAAGTCCACTTTTGTCCGAGGTCTGCTGCCTTACAAATGGATGCTGTTGTTTGATAGGAGCTGGAGAAACTGTGTGGAACAACTTGATGCGTTTATCCCATGGCCACATTCGTTATCCAAGTGTGAAGGAGAGCACAGCAGTGTAAACTAACAAACTGAGCTGTAAACTGAACTCACTGTCCAAGTTCTTGGGAATTGGATTCAGTTTTTGGCTGCAGAGGCTAAGGTAGTTCCCAGAAGGTAGTTCTCATGAGTGGTTGTGTTAATAGTGTTAGAGAAACCTGAAAAAAAAAGCCTTAGTTTCTTTTTTTAAAAATTTTTTATTAAGGTATGATAGATATACACTTTCATGAAGGTTTCACATGAAAAAACAATGTGGTTACTATATTCACCCATATTATCAAGTCCCCACCCATACCCCAATGCAGCCACTGTCCATCAGTGTAGTAAGATGCCACAGATCCACTATGTGTCTTCTCTGTGCTACACTGTTCTCCCCGTGATCCCCCACACCATGTGCACTAAACATAATATCCCTCAATCCCCTTCTCCCTCCCTCCCCACCTGCCCTCCCACACCCCTCCCCTTCGGTAACCACTAGTTCATTCTTGGAGTCTCTGAGTCTGCTGCCATTTTGTTCGTTCAGTTTTGCTTCATTGTTTTGTCTGAGGTCTGCTGCCTTACAAATGGATGCTGTTGTAGATGACAGAAGATCTCCACAAATGAGGGAAATCATTTGGCATTTGTCTTTCTCCACCTGGTTTATTTCACTGAGCATAATGTCCTCCAGCTCCATCCAGGTTGTTGCAAATGGTAGAATTTGTTTCTTTCTTAATGGCCAAATAGTATTCCATTGTGTATATGTACCACATCTTTATCCATTCATCTACTGACGGACACTTCGGTTGCTTCCGTATCTTGGCAATTGTAAAAAGTGCTGCGATGAACATAGGGGTGCATATGTCTTTTTGAATCTGATCTTGTTTTCTTTGGGTAAATTCCTAGGAGTGAAATTCCTGGGTCAAATGGTATTTCTATTTTGAGTTTTTTGAGGAACCTCCATACTGCTTTCCACAATGGCTGAACTAGTTTACAATCCCACCAGCAGTGTAGGAGGGTTCCCCTTTCTCCGCATCCTCACCAGCATTTGTTGTTCTTAGTCTTTTTGATGCTGGCCATCCTTACTGGAGTGAGGTGATACCTCATTGTGGTTTTAATTTGCATTTCCCTGATGATTAGTGATGTGGAACATCTTTTCATGTGTCTGTTGGCCATCTGACTTTCTTCTTTGGAGAACTGTCTCTTCATATCCTCTGCCCATTTGTTAATCGGATTATTTGCTTTTTGGGTGTTGAGGTGCGTGAGCTCTTTATATATTTTGGATGTTAACCCCTTGGATATGTCATTTACAAATATATTCTCCCATACTGTAAGATGCCTTTTTGTTTTGTTGATGATGTCCTTTGCCGTACAAAAACTTTTTAGTTTGATGTAGTCCCATGAGTTCATTTTTGCTTTTGTTTCCCTTTCTCGAGGAGATGCGTTCAGGAAGAAGTTGCTCATGCTTATATTCAGGAGATGTTTGCCTATGTTGTTTTCTAAGAGTTTTATGGTTTCATGACTTACATTCATGTCTTCGATCCATTTCAAGTTTACTTTTGTGTATGGGGTTAAACAATAATCCAGTTTCATTCTCTTGCATGTAGCTGTCCAGTTTTGGCAACACCAGCTGTTGAAGAGGCTGTCATTTCCCCATTGTATGTCCATGGCTCCTTTATCATATATTAATCGACCATATATGGTTGGGTTTATATCAGGGCTCTTTAGTCTGTTCCATTGATCTATGGGTCTGTTCTTGTGCCAGTACCAAATTGTCTTGATTACTGTGGCTTTGTAGTGGAGCTTGAAGTTGGGGAGCGTAATTCCCCCTGCTTTATTCTTCCTTCCCAGGATTGAAAAAGCCTTAGTTTCTAGAACTTGCTATGTAGAACTCCAACAGATAGAAGAGTGTTTAAATGATTTAACAGGTTCAAAAAAGTTAGAACTCACTGGGCTATGGTATGTAGCTAGGTGGCTGCTCTAGTCTGTGCAGTTTTATGCTTGTGTATTTCATCAGCAGCAATGAGGTGAATATACCTGAAACTACATACGTGGTTTAGTTGGAAGTCAGAACAGAACCATAGAAAATCTGCTTGAGGACCACACGTTGGTGAATGCAGAGCATGCATTCTAGTGTTCTTAAATAAAGTTTCATAAATAGTTGTTTTTGAAGCAAACAGCTGCCACCCTCATTAGTATTTGTACAGCACTTGGTTTTTATCATCCAACCCTGGAAAACTCAGCTTTGCAGATATGATGTCATTGAAAGGAATGTGGTTCAATCTGATGTTGAGACTGTGACCTCCCTGGAATGCCAGTTTGCACAGTGTCCTACAAATGTCCTGCACCTGTGTGGTTCCCACAGAAATGTAAAATAGCCTACCCTGCCCGTTTCCTATGCAGATGTCCCTTGATACCTGCCTCCCTTGTTGTCTGTAGAGTT